TGCCAAACAACAACAGCAACTTCATCCACCAAACTTTCCACATACCCCTCTTAGCCATCGTGAGCGGCACATCACTCGCGCCTACGGACCAAATGAGCTCATCAACCTGCTTCTGCTGCACGTAGTGCAGGTAATTTTGGCCGTTCTTGTGGCTTTCAGCGGTAGTAGCAGTTTGAAGCTGTTGCCCAGTACCGACTTTTACCAGCTGGTCCTTCAGCTGCTGCACTGCACTCTTCACTTGTCGCTCTTTGCCGTCGAACTTCGCCGCTACTTTTCTGTCTTTGGTGGGGCCAGCTCGGCACAACGTGCCACCTTCCTCCTCAGCTACCTCTCTCTGTTCGGTGGGCTGCTGTACATGTTGGCGCTGCTGTACACCTTCTACCTGGAGCATCCGACGCTCCTCTACCGGCTAATGGTCGTCGAAGTGGTTGCTGATGCTGGTTCCAGTTCTAGTGCATCACCATCACCATCAGCAGATTATAGTGGCACACTGTGCAATCGGTCATATGAAAACCGATCTGCTAATGGTGATGAGAGCACCCTTTTCACCACTTGCTATTCACCACTTCTAAAACCTATTTAGTAGTTTACACTTCAACAAAGATTGTTGTTGTTGAGCTTGATGATCACACACACATGCAAATTCTTATTTTGATTGTAAATATTATTTCTTGACAACACAGCACTCACACACACATTGGTTAGAAACAACTGTCCCTTAGCTGGTTAGCTGGTTGATGAATCTCATTTTTGATTGTATACTTTTTTTAATATCACCCTGTCACGTTGCACTGGTGGTGGTTCTAAGCTTCAATGTTGGTCTTTATTTCAATGTAAATACTTTCTTTTTCACTTTTTTGTATTCACTGATAAAAAACTTTTACTGAATGAGCAGCGGCATCGCTCTCTTTTCAACACTGTTCTGCCTCATCAAAAATGCATGTGTTTTGCCTGCGCGCTACAGCTAGAGAACAGGTGCAAATGCAGAATGGTCCAAACAAAAAGTGAGGTCAGCAGTTCTCGGATGATTTTAAAACGCTTGAAAGCTTGAAGCAGTATAACCACATTATTTATTTTCAGTCAGTCAGCCAACACCTTGCGAGTAGGTCAGTGTGAGCTATGAAGCCCATCTTCCGTTCACTCTCCTCAAAGTTGACACCAGTTTCAGTGATAGCGAACACTTCGAACACTACCTTCCCCAGTGCCGTGTACGGCATCACTTTGGACCAGCAGCACAATCACTTTGGCCACTTTCCCTCCTCGATGAACAACGCCTCCTTTCGACGGCAGAACTCCCAGAACCTGCATCACCACCACCACCACCCTCCACAGCACCACGTCTGGCGAAGGCGTAACTGTCTATGGCCGTACTGGTCTACCGTAAATCGAGCCGGCAGCGGTCGGTACGGCAGTGGCAGAGGAATAGGAAATGGAGGCAAAGCAGATTGCACCACCTTCATTCCCTCCTCGCCGATTCGCTGCACAAACAAACTGGGTTTTGTCACCATTCCCGGCGTAGAAAACATCGACCCTTTTCTACTTTCGCTCCGCTTTTACGGCTTTGACCTGTGGATGAACCGATACGCGGAGACTGGAAAACGCTTCTCAAAGCGCAACTTCATCACCAAAGGCCTTTTCTACTTTGCCCTGCTGATGATCAACCTGCAGATGCTCGTCTCGGTGCTTACGTCGGCCAGCGTTTTTGTCGATGGCAAAAAGAACTTTTACAGCTCGCTTGACGACGTTCGGACTTTTATTCTCAAGTTTACCATGACCTTTGCCGTCGACTTGTGGTACCTGAGGTGAGCTGAGGAGTGCTGGAGTTTGATTATCTCATTTTTAGTTACTGTTTTCCCATTCCACAGAAGTCGCAGCCAGTCAGGCATGACCCACCTGATCGCCATCAACTACCTGCGCGCTAACTCGCCCCGCCTGCTGCGCTCCACCTCCATCCGCTGGACGCTGGTGATGATCGTCTGCACGACGCTGCACTGGTCCGTCAGTCAGTACTGGCTCTCCTCGATGTCCGTCGACGAACACCGAAAGTGGCTTAATGTGATCCAGTGCGCCGTCAATATGAAGTGGTTTCAGGTGGAGCAGCAAGAGCAACAAGGCGGTGGAGGAGGTGCTCTGGCAATGGCAATGGCCAACAGCAGCAGCAGCAGTGGTGACGTAGACGATGTGCTTCGGCAAGGCGGCCACTCCCACCACAACTCTTTCTTCTCGGTGGCCGTCCTGCGAGGCATCGCTACGGTGGACTCCTTCGTCTACCGCATGTACATCTACGGCAGCCGCTTCGGGTCAATGTGCGCCTACTGTCTACTGTCGAAGCTGCTCACCGAGTGCATCATCGGCGTCAATCGAGTGCTGACCGACCATCTGGACAATGAGTACCACTACCACCACCACTACTGCAGAAGGTCGGCCAACAAGTGTGATGGAGGAGGTGGTGGTGGTGGTGGTGGTGGAGGTGGAGGCAGCAACAACTGCGCCGTCACCTTCAACCTGGAGCTCTTCAAGGAGCAGTTCAACATCGTCTACCGCATGCACCAGGAGATTGAGCAGTGCTTCGGCCCTCTCAACTTCATCTGGTTCGGCTCGCTCTTTGTCGTCTCCTGCATTGACATCTTCTTCCTCGCGTGGAAGGCGGGCACCGAGTGGTTCCGCGTCTGGTCGCTGCTCGAGTTCTGCTCGATGATCGTCCTCTGGGTGCCGCACTTCTTTGTGGCCTACCACGCCTCGCGCGTCTCCATCGAGTCCTGGCGCATGAAACTGCACCTGAAGGAGCTCTGTCGGCAGGACGAGGAGGTGAGGGACATTCTGGTCAGTTCGACGTTTTATCCGAAGATGAAGCCGACGCTGGCCGGTGTTGTTCAGCTCGACATTGGCTTCCTCCTTTCCTTTGTGGTCACGCTGGCCACCTTCAGCGTCATGCTTATACAGCTTAATCCTGATGCGGCGGCAAAAATCGGCTGAAAAGGAGATCGGCTGTATTCTGACATGGAGTATCTAGAACTTTTGTTTTTACAAAACCAAAAACAATGTATAAACCGTTTTCTAGCTGCTTTCATTTAGTTAGCTACGCACTGTTAGTGCCGATAGTCTTATTCAGTGGGAGAAACTCTCAAACTTATAAACAAAAGCAGTGAACACTAGCGGTACAGTTTCTGGAGGTAGGTGGTCTTGGCGACGTGTCGAAGGTGGTCCGCCATTTCACCGCCAATTTTGTCTACCATCGAGGCAAAAGTGGAGTTCTGCGAGAGAAGGTAATGCGGCACACCAAACTCGACGATTCGCCCGGCGTCTAGAACCAAAATCTGGTCACAATCGATGACAGTGGCCAACCGATGCGCCACTGTGATGACCGTACAGTCGACAAACTTGGAGCGAATCACCTGCTGAATGGCCAGATCAGTCTCCTGGTCAAGATTTGAGGTCGCCTAAAAAGGTGAGAGAACAAAACACCGCCATTACACTCAAAAACAAAACAACATTAGTGTTATCACTCAATTTTACCTCATCGAGAATGAGAATCTTATTCTGCTGCAGCATGGCCCGGGCCAGCGACAAAAGCTGTTTCTGCCCAATGGAAAAATTGTCGCCGCCCTCGTGAACGGGCGAGTCCAAATCTTTACCCGCCTCAACGAGAACACTTTTCAGTTGCACTTCCTCCAGCGCCTGCCACAACTGTCGATCAGTAAAGTGGCCACGATCCCCATACAGATCCAGATTGGAGCGAATGGTGCCGCTAAAGAGCACCGGATCCTGTGGAATGGAGCTGATGCTGCTGCGCAACGTCTCCAGTGGAATGTTTCGAATATTGGTGTCGTCAATCAGTATTTCCCCGCCGGTGATGTCCACCAGGCGGAAGAGGGCGGTGATGATGGAGCTCTTGCCGGCGCCACTCCGGCCGACAATGCCCACCTTTGAGCGCGGGGCAATGGTAAAGTCGAGGCTCTTCAGGACGGCGTCCACTTGGTTGTACGAGAGGAAAACGTGATCAAAGACGATCTTTCCGTCGGTGATGAAGGGACATGAGGAAGACTGCTGTTGCTGGGGCTGCTTTTGTTGTTGCTGCTGAAGCTGAAGTGTCTGCTTTGATCGCCAAAACCTAGCTCCCTCAGGTTCCTTCTGGTCCCCCAGCTCAAACTCCGAGTGCAGTTTAGTGTATGCGACCACCCGCTCCACCGAGGCCATGTGACTCTCCAAATCAGCTCGACACTCTACGCCCCATGAGGTGACGCCTACGAGGAGAATACAAGAAGAGAGGGAGAGGCCAATCTGTGAGCCATTCAGGCCGCCCACCGCATCGCCGGTGGTCATCAGCAGCGCCGTAATGGCGGCAATGTAGCTGACGCAGAGCCACTCGACGAGAATGGCAAAGCCGCGCGTCGCGCAGATGTGACTGAAAAGAACGGAAGTGTGAAAGTCCTGGTAGCGGTAGTACAGCTGCTCAAAGTACGACTGACGGGCGAAGCAGCGAATCACCGTCAGCCCCTCAAAGGTGGTGTTCATGTGAGAGTAGATGGGGTTGCGAGCTATTAGAAAGGGGCAAATCAATAGAAGAAAGTTCATCAAAAAGTTTCAGTGTTTACCTATCGCCTCTAGCCGCTTTAGCGATCTCACCGTCCTCAGGTAAATGATGGAAAAGGCACCCATCAACAGAAGAAAGACGATGGCAGGAAAGACGAACGTCCAGTCTATGACAACTTCAATGATCAGAGTGGCTAGAACGTCGGTGATTGACTAGCAGAAACAAAAAAAAGAGTTAGTTGAAAGACTTAAAGTTATTTAGCACCAGAACATACAATCTGCAGCTCAAAGGCCGTCATGGGAATGTAGTCATCGATGATGCCAATATCACGAGAAAACCTGTTCAGTATTCGGCCAGCCGGTGTATGGTAGAAGAAGGTGATTGGCGAGAGGAGGACCTGTTGGAAGGAGTTGTTGTACAGTCGAGTAGAGGCGGCCATACAGAAAGAGAAGAAACTGGTCGCCCGAAGGAGGGTGCTAAGGAAAAGGGCCACGATGAAGCCAGTGTAGATGTACGCGTACAGATTGCTGCTTTCACTGGAAAGTTGATCTTTTACCTCCTCCTCCGCTCCTTTCTCAAAGGCCTCCGTCCACATTGAAAGAAGGTAGTCACAACCCTGGGAGAGCGTCTGTGAAAGGAGAATGGCCAGCAGCATTACTGTCCCGGTTAACCAGTGAAAGCCACAGCGAAGGTAGGCTAGATAAGGTCCATTGGAGGGTGACTTGCTGCCACTGTGGTGAAGGTGGTGGTGATGGTGGTGGTCATCGTGGTCATCCTGGTGATCAGGGCCATCATCACTGGGTGACTCTTCGTCAACATCATCACCGTACTTTTCAGTTATTTGAAACTGATGCTGCTGCTGCTGATGTTCGGCTTCTCCGTGAGCACTTCCATCAAAGGAACTTCCACTTCCTCGCCCACCAAATAATCCCAGTTCATACAGCTCATCAGAAATCCCATTATCAGAAGATGGTCTCAGCAGACGAAGCTGTACACCGTGGCCATCCAGAACAAGCACCGATGTCTGCGGCAGACTGGTGGCAATGAGGTGCACCTGATGGGTGACCAGGACGACCGTCTTTGCCGCCAGGTAGCCGTTGATGCACTGCTGCACAATGAAGCGGCCTAGCTTTCCGTCCAGCGCCGACAGTGGGTCATCGAGCAGATACAGGTCGGCATCGGCGTAGAGTGCTCGGGCGAGGCTGACCCGTGCCTGCTGCCCTCCGCTCAGTTTGTGGCCCCTCTCTCCGACCATTGTCCGCTCCTTCAGCGGCATCATCGCCAGATCGGTCTCCAGAGCGGCCACCCGAACCACCTCCCAGAAACGCTTCTCCTCCAGCGGCCGTCCAAAGAGAATGTTCTCCTGAATGGTGCCGCCAAAGAGCCAGGCCTTCTGCGGTACGTAGGCAATGCTCCTCGTATTGACGGTAATCGTTCCGCCACCGCTCTTTTCCGTGGTGGGCAACTCCTTCATCAGCGAGAGCAGCAATGAAGTCTGTGGAATTGAGTTAATTTTTGTAAGTATCACTTCAGTAAGAAATGCCTTTTTTAAACCTTTCCACTGCCTACCGGTCCGACGACAGTAAGAAGCTCCCCTCGGTTCAGCGTAAAGCTGACATTACTGAATGCCGCCATTTGTCTGTCCCATGATGCAGAGGCCGACTCGGCGATGACCACTGCCTCTCTATCATCCTCATCTTCTTCTTTTGTCATTTTTTGCTGTTGCTCTTGCACCTGCTCCAGCAGAAGGTACCGCTGAATTCGAGCACAAGCGACTGCCAGCTCTGCAGTGGCCGAAATCGATTGCGGCAGGTGGCGAGTGACCGGAATGCGAATAATGTTGAAGAGCGCCATCGAGACGAAGACCTTGTGGGCGGTTAGAGCGCCGCCAAACAGGTACACATAGCTGATGAAGCACACAAAGAGGACGATCCGAGAGGTAACGTAGTATAGCGACAGGTGGACGCCCTTCAGGTTGCAGCTGCGCCGAATCTGAGCCACCTCTTTGCTGAACAAAGAGTTTGTTAGTTGCCTTCTTCATCTTCATCATCATCCAAACAACATTACCACTTACATTCTCGACTGCGCCATCAGGCGAATAAAGATGCGCTCGTAGGCGTACATCTTGATCAGCTTGATGCCATTGACAATCTCGCTGATGATTCGAATGCGCCGATCGGTGAGCGGCGCCGTCTTCGACCGAACCGTCTGAAAGAGCTTGCCCATGACGCCCTGCACGGGAATGAAGAGAAAGAGAATGCCCAGACCAATCAGGCAGCTCCAGCTCAGCTGCAGCCAGAGGAGGTAGGTGACTAGGGCCAGCTGAAAAGGTGCCACCACGGGCGAGTGGGCAAAGTAGGCGTACTGCAAAAAAAGAAATAAAAATCCTTATTTTTTTTAAAAACACTCCGGAACTTACATCGACCATGCGATTGACATCATTGGCCAGTAGATTGGAGACCTGACCAACAGAAGTCTCATGCAGTGCCTTCTGACTGAGGTATAGAGACTAGGAAAAGTCAAAATTAGTTAGCCAATCTAAGCTGAAGTGTCCAAGCGAACCTTTTTGAAGATCAAAGTAGAGCAGGCAATCTTCATCTGCAAACCGACGTGATCAGTCAGTGTAATGTTGAAGTGATTGAAAGTGGCGCCCAAGGCGGCACAGGCGACGAAACCAACGGCGGAAAGGATGACCACAGTGCTAGGACCACCACCTGAGGTAGAGTGACTACCACTTCCGAGGTAGTCAATGATGATGCCTAACAGGTACGCCTGACCGACTCGAATGACCAGCTCCTGGAAGAGAAAGGAGAGGACGATGGGTACAAATCGACGGACAAAGGTGCGATACAGGGCGCGACGGAAACGGGCCTTCTTTGGGTCCGTGCCTGAGAGGGTCTCTTTTTTCCATTCTCTAGTAAAGAGAGATTGAAAGCTGCTATTGAATGTTTCTAAACTAAAAGTTTAAATTTACCTTTCCAAAATGGCAGCCAACTCATTGGACTCGTCTTCTGGTGGACAGGCAAAGACGTCTTCAAAGTGAAGCTTGTTCTGGCGAGATGCCTTGTAGAAGAGTGGCCAGAGCCATCTAAGTGAAGAAAGCAATGTAGAATTAATGCTGGTGTTGAAAAAACACTTCGCCGTACAAAAAGAAAAGCTTGCTGGCGACGTTGACTCGATTCCACTTTGACTGTCGCAATTGGTAGGTGCCCTGTTCAAAATTGCCTTCCATCATTCAGCCAAACAATAAACAGCAAGTGACACTTCCTCGTGAAACTAACTTATGCTAAAGTTGAGCTTCAACTGACTGATTCCAGCCTGTGTCAGTCCTCTTTGACGTGCCAACTACCAGATGATCCCTCTGCGGAGCTTATCAGCAGTGTGTTTGTGTTGTATCCACTGCTGTTGCTGCTGCTGGACACACACACATCTTGATGAACACATTAGGCACAATGGCCATAAATAGAGAGCATTGATGGCCGTAGTTGTGGCGCAATTTATTATGACGGATGAGGATATTAAACAATAAACAGAGTTTGAGAGGATGCGGCTAGCAAAAAAAGTGAATCAATGAGCATAACATTTGATCATTCGTATTTGGTAATTCACTATTCAGTTTTCATTCTCTTGATTCTTTTGTAAACAGAAAACCATTTAACAAAATCCTCATCAAGCGACATAAAGTCCATAACTTAAACTTGGCCTAAATAGAACTCAAAAGATAAGGCAGCTTTTCTTGTGGTTTAGAAACTGGAGCATCACCAGCATTCTCTAGGCAACTATCACTTTTACACTGCACAGCGCTCGAACTGCCTTAACTGCAATTACTTTGCAAAGAAGCGATAACTGACAGTCCAGTGGGAAAGTGTAAAACTAGAAGACAAGTTTCCATAACAAACTTACCTAAATGAAACTTGGCAAGTTGTTGACAAACAATTTAGACGGTGCAAAAACAAAAAGTTTCACTGTGTAATCCGGGTTTTTTGACGCGCTGTTTCACATGGTTTCGCCAACGCATCGATTGAGATTGGCGGGCCAAATTAAAAAATTTGATTGTTTTAATTCTTTTTAGTGAAAAGGTCAGTTATTCAAAATTACACAGTAAACGACATTCAAATACAACAAAACGTAATCAAGATGTGACATTGATCAGGCTGTGTTAGCTATGACAATAGAGCATTCACTCTTTACTACTCAAGATCATCGTCAGTGATTATAATCTGATTACAATGCTAATGAGCAGATCTATTATCACTATCTGAAAGACTTCCTATCCTTCCTTTTTGAATCACTGACTGCCAAAGTGTTGCCATTTTCAGTTTGAATATATAAAGAGGCAAACGAACAAACTACAGATCATCAGACAAACAGTCAAACAAACAAGCAATCTCAAACCAAGCAATGAAATCTCTGGTGAGTTGTTTTCTAAATTGAAACATGTTCTAACACCCTTTTCAGTTTGCAATCATTTTCCTCTTTGCCTACCTCATGGCCGCTGTCACATGCAGAGGATACGGAGGAGGTTATGGAGGAGGTGGTGGTGGTGGAGGAGGTTACGGTGGTGGTGGTGGCTATGGCGGTGGTGGAGGTGGTGGGAAGGGTGGGTACACCTTTGTCTCGCATTCTTCATCAGGACCCAGTACGTTCAGTAACTTCATATGTTTTTTCGATTATTAAATGAACTGAATTTACTGCAGGGGGACATGGACGAGTTATCTACGGCGGAGGCGGTGGTGGCGGTGGTGGTGGACATGGCGGAGGAGGTAGCTTCGATTTCTTTTGTTGCTTGACTGAACTAACTAATCTGATTTAGGTTATGGATACGGCGGGGGATACAAAGGATAAACGAATCAACTAAAAAGTGCTCGTGTACTAAAAACTGCAAATAAATGTTTAATTTTGCTACAAATAAAAATAAATAAAAAGTAATCATAAAACTTGAATTTTGTTTTTGTTTGTCAATTTTTAAGTGCTTTAAAATACTTTTACAAAATGACATTTCTTATTTGCGTGTGTGTGTTACACTTTTGTCCTAATTACCTGTCGGTGCATGTGGTGATAAAAAATTTACGAGTTTGTTTAATTTTGTTCAACGATAGATTTCATTTCATTTGAAAAAAGGCCCTAGTGAAAAAAGCTACTTCTTTCATTCCGTTTTACAATTCACCCCAAACTTTTAAACGCAATGTACAACAAACTAACTCGCAACTGCTACCATGTGATGCGCGAAGTGGTGGAGCGACCCAGGCGGCGACTGGTGACGCTCTTCTACTACCTCGATCTGGCCATCGCCACCTACGGCATCAGATTTTACGTCCTTGCGCTGATCGCTTACGCCGACTTTCCCAAAATTCCCTACCTGAACTGGAGGCATGACCCAATTTGCTTCTTCCTCTACCGCCACAAGAAGGTCTACGACGCTTTCATTCCTGTTGTGATATTTCTCCTAGAGGTGTTTCACATTTTTGTAAAGTACCGCCTGTTCAATCTCCGTGATCTGGACTGTACAGTGTGGCGGTGGTGGTACGAGATGATAGTTGTCAACCAGGACGCCTACTACGACAACCTCCTCAGCAATCAAGAGGTGGAAGCAGTTTATGCGTCAAAGGAGTCGGTCCTCCTCAATCGCTGGGCTGAAGAAGACAGTTTTCTGGTGAAGTTGTCAGTGCCGGATTTCGGCCTCAAAGTGCTGGGTAAGGTTTTTGCTCGTTGGGACACCTTTCGAAATTTAGATTATGTTGACAAAAAACGCCTGTTTGCCTACAAACTGGCCGTGTTGCCTAATCTATCTGATCACCTGCGCGTAAAGATGCTCTTCATTTCCATCTTTGCCGATAAGATCATTGGCGCCGTTCAGATTATGCAAAGTAATGCCAAAAAATGAAGTAAAAACACTTTGCTGTACAATTAAGTTAATCAGTTTATGTTATTTTTTTAGTTGTTCTAGCCATTCTGCTGGTCCTAATCTTTCTTCCTCAAATGGTTAGCCTCTACTCACCTGGCTACAAACTAGTCGCTTCCTGTTGGTTTGCCTTTGACGCAACGGTGGCCACCTACCAGCTGCTAGGTCTCTACCAAAGTGCCCTCTTCTTTGCCTACTGTACGGTGCTAACTTACACTGTTCACGCTGGTCATGTCATTGATTTGTACAAAAGAGTTTCAAACATTCTGTTTGGAAGAAAAAGAAACAGTAGTGGTGCTGCCTTGCTGACGGCAAAGGACTACTTGGGCTTTCGAAACTTTCTCATTGACCAAACTCTGGCCAGTTACCTGTTTTCCGCCGGCGGAGTGAAGCTTTTCTCCGCAGTGATGTGGGCGTTTTTGGTCACCAATACTCCAATTAATATCTACTGCATTCGCCGTCTGGTCTTCATTGAGCAGCCACTTTTTGTTGATGTTATCATCTGGTTTATCTTCTTGCTGCAGTTTAGCGCCTGCTGCCTAGTCATGGGTCCGCTCGCTCGCAGTTGTCAAGTACTGCACCGGCCTACTGGGTGGATTGCCCGCTTTCAGCTGATGACCACCAACTTTGGTGCTCATAGAGAAACTCATCTGCAACTAAGCTGGACACTGCTCAAGTTTAAATTTAATGATCTTTTCTTTCGACTGCTTTACGGGCCAAAGTGCGCCATCTGCATTGGACCCACTAGCCCCATTACCTACATGACCGCTGTTGAAGTAAAAGAAAATTTTTAAAATTTGAATTTTTTTATTATACATTTTTCTACTTTTTCACAGTATGTAATGATGTACGGCGGCTACTTGTTGATGGTTTTCTCGCAGATGATCGAAAGTCAATCAAGTGTCGGGTCTTAATTGTCAGAATAACACTGCGTTCTTTTAGTCTGTATTTTAATTTTTCCTGTACTTTAACGGTTAAAATACTTTTGATATGTAGTATTTACGTCATTTTGTTTAAAATTTTTTAATACTTTAAAATGAAAATAATTTTCTCCTTTGTTAATTATAAATGTTGTTGTGCTACTTTTTAAAAAAATTTATTTTAATTTCTTTTATCGATCTAAACAGTAGGACAAATTATGCACACACGAGTACCTACACTGCTGACACATTTACTGCAAATTCTGAAAAACAAAGCTTTTTATTTTGTCAGAGCATTATTCAAAAGGTCCCCAATTCTCTTTTTACCTTTAAAACATGTTTAACAAAATAACCCGATGTTGTTATCACATGATGAAAGAGGTGTACGAGCGTCCAAAAAGGGCTCGAGTCAAATTTGCCTACTACTTTGACTGGGTCATTGCCATTTATGGCATAAGATTTTACATACTTGCGATAATTGCTTACGACGACTTTAAGCTGACGTTTTGGAACTGGAAACTGGATCCAATTTGTTACTTTTTCTATCGAAAGCGAAAACTGTACGACGCCTTTGTCCCTACGATGATCTTTCTTCTTTCTGCTTTTCACATGACCATGAAATACCGCCTGTACAATCTGGCCGATATCAACTGCGTCGTTTGGCGGTGGTGGTACGAGATGATTGTGGTCAACCAGGACGCCTACTACGACAACCTTCTCAGTAAACAGGAAGTAGAGGCTGTTTATGTAACAAAAGAGTCTGCTTTGCTTAATCGCTGGGCAACAGAGGACAGCGGTTTTCTAGTTAGGCTTTCAGTGCCCAGTATTGTTTTGAAGGCAGCTTGTAAAGTTCTAGTACGATGGGAAACTTTTAAAAACCTTGACTATGTCAACAAGGAGCGCCTTTTTGCTCGAAAGTTGGTCATTTTGCCAAATCTCTCTGATCGAATGCGAGTGAAAATGATCTTTATCTCCCTTTTTGCCGATCGAATCATCTGCGGTATTCAACTTTTGCAAGGTAAAATGCCAATTTTTAAATAGTTTTTTTGAGTTAATTTGTATTTTTTTTACTTACTCTAGTTTTCCTCACCATCGTCTTTGTGCTCTTTTTCATTCCCCAAATAGTCAGTCCTTACTCGGGCACCTACCTTCAGGTGGTCACACTCTGGACTTTTGTAGACATCGCTCCGGTAATCTCGTACGCTATTCTAGGCATGTACCAAGCGGCTTTCTTCTTTACCTACTGTACGGTGCTGGCCTTCACAGTGTACTCTGGTCACGTCACTGAACTGTACAGAAAGGTAGAAAACATGCTTCAAAAGAGGGTTCCACTGACACTAGTAGAATACCTCGCCTTTCGGAACTTTCTTGTGGGCCACTGCTGGGCAAGTTATCTTTTCACCACAGGCGGGGTGAGACTTTTTTCTGCTATCATGTGGGCCTTCCTGGCAACGAATACGCCAATAAATATATATTGCCTCCAGCGGTTGGTTTTTTACAAGCAACCGTTCTTTGTAACCGTAATTGTCTGGAGTAGCGGCCGCCAGGCCGCTGGTGACGTGGCTTTGCTCACGCGAAGTTCGAAACCTCTGTAAATGCTTTATAAGCTGCTCCCTCTACCATTAAAAGTCAGTCTGGACTACGTCATGCTTGTAAATCTCTCCGCGCGCCGCGTTACCAAACCGCTTCTCTGGTTCATTATTTGCCTGCAAGTTTTTGCTCTTTGTGTTGTTCTTGGTCCACTGGCTCGCTGCTGTCAATTGCTGCATCAGCCCACCAAGTGGATTGCCCGCTTTCAACTGATGACCAGTAAAACCTTCTCTGATCAATTTGGAAGCAGCAGCAACCGAATTACCGGTGGTCAACAAGAACAACAACAAAAACGACAGTGGACACTACTCAAGCTCAAGTTTAATGACCTTTTCTTCCGACTTCTTTTTGGCCCTAAATACGCTATTTGCATTGGACCTACCAGTCCCATTACCTACATGACCGCTGTTGAGGTATTGCTTTGATTATTTTGCTGGTTTGCGTTTTATCGTTTATAACCCTTTTCTTAGTTTGTAATGCTCTACGTCAGTTACCTGCTCCTGGGCTTCAGTCAGATGATTGAACGGCTCAGTGAAAACAAGTAATTATAAGAAAATCAATTAATTTTTTATTGATTGTTCTGTAGTGCCCCTGCACATTGTCACCACAATTCATTCTCTCTGACTCACATTTCACCCACACACACTCTTACGTTCGCATCTCTCTAACCATTACTCACATCCTCAGACAGACAGATATCTGTGTATATAAGCATACCACATGTAAGCAAACTTTACCTGTCCTCACTTGGTCTTTGAGCCTGTCTGTTTCTCCCTCTCTCTCTCATCATCAGTCTATTCCCCAATAAACCAGATACAACATCGGCACCATAGTTTATAATAATAAAATAAACGGTCTGATGTACTTAATTTTTACCTAGAATACTAAATGATTTATGTTTTTGAAATGCCAAAACTACTGCAATATTTCAAACAAGACTGTTTTCCAGAAAAAATACTCAAGTTTTTTTTAAATTGTAAACAACTAAAATATTTATTATTTGCCCCTGTCTTAATTATACAAATCCACAAAATAAAGTAAACTTCCTGCAATGGGCTGATTTTTAGTACAATGGCTTAAGTAATTTTTTTATAAATTTGCAACAAACAAAAAAAATTCTAAGAGTTCAGGTTCCAAAGTTCGGGAGTCCTAAAATGGAGCCCGTTTTGAGGCGTCACTGCCCACTCTTACATTTAAAGGGAACGCGCTATTACAAAAACCTTCACTTATTTCTACAAATAAAAAATTTTTCAAAAAAATTAGGGGCACTGCGACCCAAAATACGTAAAACCTGGAACTTTGGAACCTGAACTCTTAGAATTTTTTTGTTTGTTTCATAATTATAAGAAAAATCTTTTTAGCTAATGTATCAAAAATCAGCCCATTGCAGGAAAGTGATTTTAGTTTGTGGCCTTGTGTTAGACCAAATTATGAATGCAAAAACAAAAAAATTTTGAACTACAATTTATTGATTGACCTTACTAAAACGCTCAAAAATGCTATTTTCTAGCAAAGAAATTACAATAAAATGCGTTTCATAAATAGCATTCTGAAAAACTAAAACCACTGTCACTATACTTTTAGAGCGGTCAAACGAAACAACAATGTTACCAACTGATTACACTCGCTGCTGCTACACCCTAATCAAACAGATGACCGAGCGACGTAGGAGCAGAAAGGTCGTCCTTCTTTACTACCTCGACTGGGCCATCTACCTCTACGCTGTGCGATTTTACTACGTGGCTCTAATTGCCTTTGCTGGCTATCCCACCCTGCCAGCTCCCTTTGACTGGAAAAAGGACCCGATTTGCTTCTTTTTCTACCGAAACCGCCACACTTACGACGCCTTCGTTCCGGTCACATTTATCCTCCTGGGGACGTTTCACATTATAATGCGCCAGCTGATGTACGGTCTCCAGGTGGACAGGCCAGTCTGGTGGTGGTGGCACCAGTTGGTGGTGCTCAACCAAGACCTTTACCACGGCAGCTTGCTTTGTCAGCTGGAGCAGGCCGCTGTTCGGCGCCACAGAGAGGCGGAAACGCTGGCGATGATGAAAGGAAGTGTCTATAGTCAACTGGTGCCTAATCTAATTTTGGTGCTGATAGCGAAGACTTACGCCCGCTTTCTGGTGCTCAAGCGCTTTGATCACGTCAACAAAAGCAAATTTTTTAGCGCCAAATTGAGCACTCTGCCTGGCCTCTCTGATAAAATGCGCCAGCGAATGCTGCTCACCATTATGCTCGCTGATAAAGTGATCACTGGCGTGCTGGTGTATTCCAGTAAGCAGCTGATGAAACATTGTTGAGCTGATTGAGTTGATTTGAAATTACATCTTTTAAAATTAACCCTTTTTAATTCACTAGACGGCGTCGTGTTGCTCTTCTTACACATTTTTCTGCTCAAATTCACCGAGCCGTACAGTGCCGCCCACCGGCCGTACATCGCTTTAGTGCTTTTCATTGAAGTGGGCATTATCATGCACTACTACCTCACACGGCTGATACAGTGTGCCCTTTTCTTCACTGCCTGCACCATCATCGCCAGCATCACCTACGCGGGACACTCCAGAGAGCTGTACAAAGTATCAGGAGCAATTCTGAATCGTCGTGTTAAAGCTAAACGCCAACAAGTCATTCATTTGAAGGATTTTTTCAGTCTTACAAAAGTGTTCGTGGACCACAATAAGGTATTGTTGTGGTTTATGTGTTTTAATTTTCAATTTATTAGCTTTTGAAACCTCCAGGTTTGCTACCTAGTGGTGGCAGGCAGTGACGAACTTTTCGGCGCCGTCCTCTTCACCTTCCTCTTAACTAATGTCCCAATCAACATATTCTGTATTCGAAATTTGGTTTTTCTGCGACAGGACACTTTTGTTGTGGCCGCTTTTTATTTTATGATCACCGTACAGTTTTTTGCAATGGTCACAGTGTTTGGTCCACCGGCCTGGTGTTGTGCCGTCTACCATGCCCCCAAAAAGTGGATCTTTCAGTTGCAAATCCGCCTGAAAGGGCCACCCTGGTGTCTGTTCAAGCTCAAGTACGATGATCTAATGAATCGACTGCTGTACGGCAACAAGATTGCCATCTATATGGGACCGAACAGCCCAGTTACCTACATGAGCGCTTTCGAGGTATGATTTGTAGATGTGTTAATAACTGTACATTCTTAAAGTTGATTTTTACAGTTTATCTTCATGTATTCATCCTACACAATGATGGTGTTTAGCGGTATGATTAAACTGTTGATCAACACGTCAATTGCATCAAAAGATATTTGAGTCACAATAATTTTTTGCTTGTGTAAAAATGTCCTAAAATGACTCAAATATTTCAATAGCTTTGAAAATAAATTTCAGTTTCGAGCACTTGTCTTTTCGGCGACTTGTCCAATTGTTGTTTTGTTTTGATTTTCACCTTAGTGCCCACGCTGATTTCTGTCGTTTGAGCAATTTTCTTCAATCTTTCAAAAGCTTTTGACATTTGTTTGGCTAACTACAAAAAATGCCTGGCCATGAACAGCAGTTGTTAGGAACTGATTTGTTTGACGAAAAGTTTAATTATTTGTATGAAGATGGACTAAACTTGGAAGATGATGATGAAGAGGAAAGCGAACTTGATTCAGATACCACGGAAATAGAGGAACAACCAGCAGCAAAAGCAGTCAGTGGTGAGTTTTCATGCTTAATATGTTCACACTTTGACCAATATTGTTACTCTGCAGAATCTCAACAAAATAAACCTGTGTTAAGCTCTACCTTGAGGAGTACTTCTCGAAAAACAAAGGGTCGTAAAAGGAAAATCAACAAGCTTCACAGGTGTCCACACTGTGACCGAACCTATCCGTTTCCATGTGAACTGAGGCGACACTTGCCGGTGCACACCGGCGTCCTGCTACACCAGTGTGCCACCTGTTCCAAGTCCTTCAAAACACAAACTGAACTTAAGCAACACCAACTGTTCCACAGTGACGTCTCTGCCCATCAGTGCTCCACTTGCTCCCAAACATTCAAAAAAAAGGGCGATTTAACACGACACCGACTAACACACAGTGAAGATCGAGCCTACGAGTGCCCCACCTGCTCTCAATCCTTCCGAAGGCTTGACATTCTGAAGAAGCACCAACTGGTGCATGTGGACGTCATTCCAGTGCACAAGTGCACCACCTGTTCCAAACTGTTTAAGAGGGCAGACGGTCTCCAGATGCATCAACTGGTGCACACTGAAGTGCGAGAGCACCAGTGTCCGAGCTGCTCAAAGACATTCAAAAGGCGAGGTGAGCTCGCTAGACACCAAAGTCGCATGCATAATGACGTCCGACCTCACCAATGCCCGACCTGTTCCAAGTCCTTTAAGACCAAAAGTGAAGTCACGAAGCACCAAGTAGTGCACAGTGTCTCTAGGCCATTTCATTGTTCTCCTTGCGGACTAACTTGGAAGTGGAGAGGGGAATACACCAGGCACTTAAAAGCTAAGCACTAAGTTGCACTGTTAAGTACGAGTTTATCAAACACTTGGCTAAATGATTAGTTTGTGATATCAACTCATTGATAAACTTTTTTTATATAACGGCTAAAAACAGTAACAACACAATTTGTTAAAGTTACAATTTAAATTACAAACTGATATTACAATTTCCTAATGGAGTTTTTTATTAATTTCAAAAGATAATTCAAAAGTATATTTAAATGGCAGTAATTTTTACAATTTTAAAAAGTTTTACAGCAAATTAACAAAATGCTTAAACTAACTTTACTTTTGTTGCTAACCTTTGGCATTTGCTGGCACTGGAGGGTAACAAATGCTGAAACTCAGCTAACCAACGTCGTACAGCTTAAGGCGGGCCAAATTCGAGGCTCCTTTCTGGACGTCTACCACCACAAAGTGGAGTTTTACCAGGCGATAAAATACGGTAAACCAGAAAACGCGAGTGTTTTTGCAAAGCTAAATTCTACTTTTGTTTTACTTTTTTTCTTGTAGGCGAAGCAGCTCGTTTTGCAAAGCCGACGCCCGCCAAACCGTGGACCGGCGTCTACAACGCCACTTCGCCCGGCCACAATTGCGTCCAGTTTGGCGGCGGTGAGCTGATACAGAACGTCACCTCCAGCGAGGACTGCCTCTACGTGAACGTGTGGAAGCCGGTGATCAATGGGCATAAAAGCGGCAACGGAAGTACCACAACAGTGCCAACCACAACTCCAAAATCAACTACTACCACCACCCTACTTCCGGTTATGGTGTGGATCTACGGAGGCGGCTTCGAAACGGGAGGCACCTTTGGCAATCCCCCGCTCTACGATGGGCGGTACATTTCCGCGGTAGGCGAGATCATTGTCGTCTCCTTCAACTACCGCCTCGGACCGCTGGGCTTTCTAACGCTGGACAGTGCTGGGCACCTGGTCCCGCCTAATTTGGGTTTTCACGATCAGATTCTGGCGCTCAAGTGGGTGCAAGAGAACGTGGCCGCCTTTGGCGGTGACCCAAAGCTGGTCACCATCTTTGGCGAGTCGGCTGGAGCCATTTCGGTTGGAGCTTTAGTTTTGTCCCCACTTGCAAAAGGTCTTTTCAAGCGAGCTATCGCCCAGTCTGGAGCCCCTTTAAGTGTGGTGATGGACACTCGAGAGCAGGCATTGGCAAAGACAAAAGCGTTTGCACACAAGGTCAACTGTACAGCGGTGGTTGATGCCGACCTGGTCAAGTGCCTGAAAGGCAAATCAATTGCTGAGCTGAAGCAGGCGACATTCGGCGATTTTTCGCAAAATCACTTCTTTGTGCCGGTGCACGGCGATGAGGTGCTCCCAGTGCCGCCGGCAGTGGCGCTGAAAGAGGGAAAGTTCAACCATGTGGACTATATTTACGGTAAAGGGAGGGCAAATTTGAAACTGATAATCCAATTTTTCTGCTTTACTAGGGACAAACCGGGACGAGGGCACTCTATTCATACCGCAGTTTTTCCCTGAACTGGCCGGCACTGGCGTTCGCATGACCACCAAGTCCACTAAAGAGTACATCATCAAGCTGATGACACTTTTCCAAAAAAATTCAATTGCCAAAGAGGTGGCCGACTTTTACCTGGACCACCTAAACAAGACAAATCCCACTCAGGACCAGTTGCGACTGACCCTTTCCGCCTCATTTGGCGACATGCTCCTCGTCTGTCCGTCGGTTTTTTTTGGAGAAGAGCTTGCTCGAAGGTCGCCGGACACTAAGGCTTTCTCCTATCGACTGATGCAGAGCACACCGGAGGCCTTTCTTCCCGGCCTTCCGCCGCTGCCCGCCTGGATTGGCATTCCTCACGGCGCCGACCTCTTTTACTTCTTTCAGTACGACAAGACGGTGCAGTTTGAGGAGGAGAATGTTTTTGCTCGTTTCATGATTGGCAGCTGGGCCAGCTTTGCCCGAACCGGCGTGCCAACCGCCACTTTTGGCACTGGAAACTGGAGCGAGGCAGTGCTGCGCAGCAGCGGCGACTTTAGCACGCGACATTTTAGTTTACAATTGGGTCACTTTAAGATGGTGGAAGGCGCCTACAANACTGGAAACTGGAGCGAGGCAGTGCTGCGCAGCAGCGGCGACTTTAGCACGCGACATTTTAGTTTACAATTGGGTCACTTTAAGATGGTGGAAGGCGCCTACAAGGACACCTGTGAGCGTTTTTGGAAAGCAAAAATGTTGGTTTAATATTTCTTTTTAATCCTCTGCCTGCTCTCTAATCCAGTCATTGTAGAGGGCAACGTTTGTGTAGGCGGAATATTTGTTGCATTTACCGCTCACAAAACTGCTTACTCCAAACTGAA